AATTGTTTACAGAGTTGTGGGAGACTTTATTTAACTGTAAGTTCAGACAGTCAGAGTCATCAGCAGAGAATGAGAGAGAATGTACTGGACATGAAGATTTGACTGGAGTGCAGAACACTTTCACTGATATGTCACTCATGCCTAAACTTATCAATGCCTATAAAGGAGTGTATGCTGTGGCACATGCACTTCATAGTATTCTTGGCTGTAATGAAACATGTAACAATAAGATGCAGCTAGATCCACTCACAGTGAGTTCAGCATTAAGTACTTATAAATGATACCTTCAGAAACAGAACAATATTTGTTATGAATAGCTAGATTCATACATTTCTCCGATCCTCTTATATTTTACAGCACATAAAAAAGATTAATTTCAAAACCAAGGAAGGAGATAAGGTTTACTTTAATGAGAATGGAGATCCAGCAGCAAAGTATGAAATTATAAACTGGCAGCCTACAGAAAATGGCATTGTGGACTTTGTCAGAGTTGGTCTTTATGATGCTTATTTGCCTGCAGACAAACAGCTGAATCTGCAAAGAAAATATTTAATTTGGGCACAGAACTCAAACCAGGTAAGCTACAATATTATCACAGTTTTTATTATTTACAGTATAATCATCATAATTGTATTATTGTTACTGTATCATGCAGGTGCCTGTGTCAGTTTGCAGTGAGAAATGTCCCCCAGGAACTCGCAAGGTTCTCCAGAAAAGAAAACCTGTCTGTTGCTATGACTGTATCAGATGTGCAGAAGGAGAAATAAACAACACGACAGGTCTAGTAAAATTTAAAAAAGGTTCATAGATGATTATCCTGTGTCCACCCATTTTATAAAAAAGCTAAATAACAAACACATATTTGTACAACACAAACTACATCTTCCATACTGATCAACCAGTTGATTCAAAACAAAAAAAACTGAGAAAGTATCACCTTCCTGATTCATGATAACCTTTATTTATAGAGCACTTTTCTAAACTTTTGTTACAATGTGTTCACATATGCACAAAACAATAAATTGAAGCAGAATTTAACAGAACCATAAGAAAAATGAAAAGAATTATAACATGAAGGTGTGTTAAAGGGTTACAAAGGGCCATATAAACTAAAACCGTCTTCTTACAGAAATATCTATGTTGGTGGGTATCAAATCACAAACCTGAGTAAAGTCTGTAGCCAGTTTTGAGCTGAAAGAGAAGATGGAAGTCTATTTATATCTGACTTGAGCAACTCAAGTATAAAGGGTCTGTCTTGTATAGACAGAAAAGAAGCCCCAGAAAAAAAAGGTTCATCTACTGGACAAGTCTGACATCTGCTTTCATATAAT